GATAACTCTCAACTACACTTCTTGCGATTCAATCTGTTGGCGATCGCTAACATGTATAAACCCAATGATGAGTTGTGTTCGATCACATAGGGTGTGATACGACAAAGAATTCAGTTACGAAGTAAGGAAGCGTTCTAATCTTTTGTAGACGTAAAAGGCTACGAAACATAAAGTAAATCAAAGAGTTTCAATTATCAATATCAAATCGGGATTTGGTAACCAATTGTTAACAAAATGTAATTAACACGGAATTTGAATGATTAGAGATACGACCTTAGGAATGTGGTCAGTCGAATACTAATTGTGCTAAATGGGTAATTATTAATTGTTTTAAGTTGTTGAATCTCAATGGGTAGGATAGGTTGTATTTACGATAGCCATTTCTTAATCAACTATCATGTTTCGAGTGAGTTCTCTCGAACCTCAACAAGCTCAACAATATAAAACAACCCAATTCTTTTATTAAAGCCAATTTTTCAAGCTAGGTTATAAAGACACAAATCCATACAACTATCAATTGTTCAATCTACTCTAAGCATCATTCTCAAGCAAGCATAGAGATCTAAGCTAAAATTGTATTTGCAACTTCAGTTCGTCAATGAAAACATGAATTAACAATCGAACCCATTTTAAAACAACATTAAATTCAGCAATTAAAAATACCCATAAGCTAATTTATGTATTCGATTACATGATCACACCACTAAGGTTAGGGGTTTAGCCAACCATAGCAAAAAATAAGAAATCATTACCAAATAGATTATCCATCCTAATTGGAACGATCTGCATTTCTCAATGCCAAAAGTAAAACTAGAATCCTAAATCCTTAAATCAAAGATCAAAATCCTCTCCTAGAGTATTCAACAATATGAAGATATGTAAAAGCTCTCAAAACTGGGGAATACCCTATTTTGGAACTCCTTTTCTCTTTTGAAAAATAATAATTTATATGTTCCCAAAAACTTTCCAAAAATCTCAGCAAAGAGTCTAATCGACGATATAAGTCGGGATCGCTAAACGACTCAGCGATCCATAGAAATTCACATCTTCCCACCTTTTAGCTTGACTCCTGTGTCAAATTGTTCTGGAAAATTTGGTGAGCTTGATAGTTGTCGTCGTTCCATTCGACGACACACCGAAGTGTATTTTCACTCGCCGAGTTTACATAATCTATGGGCTACTTTTCTAGAAGATTTTTCGAGTTGGAGGCTGATTCAGTGAGTCGCCGAGTGGCTTTCGTGAGCTCTGGCTTTTCTTTTATTTAGCTTTGCTAACTTTTTCACCTTTTTTGGCATTGTAATGTCCTTTTCTTGTTCTTAAGTCTTCATTGCTGCATATAAACATATTAACATTAGTTATGAGCACAAAATAGACATTGAGGACACTAATTCATCGGATAGTAAGCCCTAAATGACTCTAAATTCCCGACTTATCTACACCCCCCAACCTAAACTTTTGCTTGTCCTCAAGTAAAACACAAGATCAATCTGGCCATTAAGGATGTCTACAAATAGAGCTCTTTGAGACTCAACATGAATGTGCACAAGGTTCAATCTGCACATGCAATGTTTAATTGTGCACAAAATGTTTCAAACTATGACTAGCCATCATCAAATAGAGTTGAAGATCACAATGCTCACTCTAAATGCAAATTCATGCTCAACAAGAGTATTCAAATGCCCTCACATCAAGAATGATTCCATGCTCTCACAAAGATAATCAAGGATTAGAATTAAGGAATAGAAATCAATTCTCAAACTCCCAATGAGAAAAACATACATGATTTTACCCATAGGCTTGCCTGTATTTTCCAACAAACACATCACTGAGCTCATGCAATATCAAAAAGGTGTTTCAAGGCTTGTTATTTGGCTGAGGGTATCGGTATGATCATTTTTGCTTAGTAACTTCTACCGTCATTAAGCATGGATCAAATTTATCTTCTTTTCCTTTTCTTTCAATCTTTTAATTGTCACAACTCATCCTTGGCCTATTCATAGCACACAAAAAATTTGTTCTAGGTCATCAGACACCCCTTTTATTTACACAACATTGCACAATGGATACAAATTCATCATTTATTTATTTTTTTTCTCATTTAACCTTTTTTATATGGAGGGGTTCCATAGTTTTTCCAAACATTCCTTCCAGGATGAATTTCTTTACTCATTCTTACCACACCCCAACTTAGGTTGTTGGCCTAAGTTTGCTATTCAAACAAAACAATACTTCATGAAAGTTTTAGGTGAGGAGGATACGACCATTTGTGTTCAAATTTCATCCAAAGAAAATTTTCGGCTCAAATGGTGCCAATCTAGGTTCACACGCTCACAAGCTTGCAACACCATGGTATATCAGTTAGCCTCACTCTCAATAATTTGTGAGTAAGATCATTTCCGTTATTCACCAATACAAGTTAATTCGACCAAGAAGGCAAGTTCTAGGTATCATCATCCACACATGGCACTCAACACAATTATCGATCACAAATCTACGAGTTAAACTCGCGTGCAATGATCATTTCAAGACTCACTTCGACAACCCAACTAGTCACAATGAGATTCTTAGAGTTCACACATTACTTATACAACTCCATCAATAGCACTATTCAAGTCATCGATATTGACCACAACTGATACTAGAATGTTCAAGGGAACATTTGTAACATTCACGATCAAACAAGCAAAATAGATACCAATGAATCAAAGCCAACATTCACTATTTAAAGCAACATGGAGAAGTTTCAAACAAAAAGCAACAAAACAGCAAAATAAAAACAAAATACATCAAGAGGCTAGGTATCAAGATACCTTCACCCCACCAAAATAACTAAATAGTGTCCTCAATGTAAAATAGAAACTAAAATAATTGGGTGGAGAGTAAGGTTCAATGAATGAGAGGGTGAAAATTTAAATGAAACAAAAAATCAGAAGAGAAATTACTATTCAATTAGAATGCTAATCGCTGAGTTTTTCGAACACCACCGAGCCACTCGGTGACTCACCGATCAGACATCAGTTCGCACAAATTTACAGAACCTGGGCCTTCCAAAGGGAGAGAAAGGTGATGAAACTTGAGGCCACCAAATAAACTCGACGACTCACCTTGTGAGCTAGCCCAAAATTACAGAACCTTCCTCATTTTTGACCTCCCTTTTGCGATGCATTTGGGCGATCAAAGGGTCAAGTCAACGACTCACCGATTAAACCATCCCCTCACCCAATTTCCTTTATTAAAGAGATGAACTACAACCTGCACATCCAACAAACGTTATTCAAATAACAAAAAAACTAAAACTTGGCTTTCCTCTTAATAAATGCCATAGTTAACGTCGTGGCACGACGTGGACATGTATTCAATCATCATCCAAATACACCACATCAATCACCATTGAATTTAGGCACTCTCCAAAGTATAGCTTTAAACTTTGTCAATTCACTTTGAATACTGACGCATCCGCACTTTCAACTTCTATTGCCCCATTAGAGAACACCATCTTCAGTTTGAATGGTCCCGACAATTTCAACTTGACCTTACCCGGAAAATGTCTTAAACGGGAGTTATAAAACAACACCAGATCACCGAATTTAAACTCTCAATGAAGGACTTTGGCATCATGTCATTTCTTCATTTTCTCCTTATAGAGGGCTGAACTCTCATATGCACAAAGCCAAAACTCTTCTAATGCATGGAGTTGATCAACTCTATCTTTTGATGCATCTTTCCAATTCAAGTTCAGGGCTTTGAAGGCCCACAATGCCTTATGATCAAATTCCACAGGCTGATGACAAGACTTACCGAACACCAATTGATATGGGGACATACAAATTGGAGTTGTGAATGCAATTCTATACTCCCAAAGAACAACATCTAACTTCTGGGACCAATCAGTTTGATTTGAATTGGCTGTCTTGGACAAAATTCTTTTGATTTCTTGGTTTGACAACTCAACTTGCCCACTTGTTTGTGGATGATCAGGGGCAGCAACCCTATGCTTGACTCTATACTTCCTTAGTAATGATGCAAACATACGATTACAAAAATGAGACTCCCATCACTAATGATTGCACGTGAAGAGCAAAACCTATTGAAAATGTACCTCTTGGGGAATTGGACCACACTTCTCCCTTTATTATTTGATAAGGCCACCGCCTCTATCCATTTGGTGTAATACACGGCTACCAAAATGTATTTGTTTCGATAAATACTCACAAAAAGGGCCGTGAAAGTGATTCCCCAAATATCAAACAACTCTGACTCTAAAATATGAGTGAGAGGTAATTCGTGCCTTCGCGATACTCCCCCTTGCTTTTGGCATTCCATACACTTCTTAACAAGAGAGTTCACATCTTGATATAATGTCGGCCAATAATAACCACTTTAATGAACCTTTGGTGTTGTATGTACTCCACTATGGTGTCTACCCACTGGTAATGCATGCAAGCATTAAGAGTAGCCTCTACCTTAAATTCTGTAACAGACCTTCTAATCATGTGGTGTACACAGTCCCGAAATAGATAAGGTTCATCCCAAAAGTACTTCTTCCCATTGAAAAGAAACCTCTTTCTTTGGTAAAAAATCAGCCAATCAGGAAGAATCCCACACACCACATTTGAAAAAATTGGGATACCAAGGTGGAGTACAATTTGACACACCCATCACTGACTCATTGGGAAAATACTCTTCAATATCTTTCTCACTGGAAACAACAATATTTGTTTCAAGCCTCGACAAGTGGTTTGCCACTTGGTTCTCACACTCTTTTCGATCTGTGACCTCAAAGTCAAACTCTTGTAACAAAATTACCCATCGAATTAACCTTGGATTTACATCTTTCTTGGCCATTAAGTAATGGATTGTGGCACGGTCTATGTTTACCAGTACTTTAGTCCCCAAAAGATAAGCTCGAAACTTCTCGAAAGCATACATGACGACTAATAATTCATTTTCTCGGTGACGGTGTAGTTCTTTTGAGCTACATTTAAAGTCTTGCTTTCATATTAGACCGGGTGAATTTTTTTTCTCTTGCATTGGTAAAGCACAACCTCCGAACCTACACTGCTCGCATCACACATTAACTCAAATGAAATACTCCAATCTAGAGCAACAATGATAGGAGCTGAAATGAGCTTCTCATTTAAACACAAACATGCCTTGACACAAGCTTCATCAAACTCAAAGATTCTTTGTTTTTCAAGTAGCTTGGAAAGAGGAAGAGCTACCTTAGAGAAATCTTTTATGAATCTCCGGTAGAAACACACATGACCCAAGAAACTTCTAAAACCTTTTCTCGAGATAGGAGGAGGCAACTTGACAATAACTTCAACTTTTACTTGATCAACTTTTATGCCTTCTCCCAAAATTTTCTGCCCCAACACAATACCGTCCTTAACCATGAAATGACATTTCTGCCAATTGAGAACAAGGTTTGTTTCGACACATCGTGACAAAAATCTACCAATGTGCTCAAGGCATGCTTCAATTGTATCTCCCATAACCAAAAATTCATCCACGAAAACCTCCATCGAATCCTCTACCATATCGGAGAAACTAGAGAGAATACACCATTGAAATGTTGCTGGTGCATTACATAACCAGAAATGCATTCTTTTGAAAGCAAACGTCACATAAGGACATGTGAAAGTTGTCTTTTCTTGATCTTTTAGTGCAATGGAAATTTGATTATAGCCAGAATAACAATCTAGGAAATAATACCATCCACATCCCACAAGTCTATCAAGCATTTGATCAATAAATGGCATTGGGAAATGATTCTTTTTGGTCCATGCATTGAGTTTTTAGTTATCCATACATGCACGCCAACCGGTAACCGGTGGCATTGGCAGAAGCTCCCCTTTGTCATTAGGGACAATGGTTAAACCACCTTTTTTCGAAACACATTAAATGAGACTAACCCAATTTCTATCTGTAATAGGGTAGACAACTCCTACATCAAGCCACCTAATAATCTCCTTCTTTATGACTTCTTGCATTGAAGGATTCAACCTCCTTTGATGTTCAATCGTGGCATACAATCACTACCCAACTTAATCTTCTGAGTACAAATATCGGGAGGGATTCCCACGATGTCGGCAATTGTCCACCCAATAGTTTAAACCTCTTCAACACACTAAAAAGTTCTTGTACTTGCCATTCAATCAAATCCACCAAAATTGTCACGACCCAGGGGTAACCCCTATATGTAACATGACACAGAGAATCCCGAAAGACTCAATGCAAGCCACTTATCATATCACAACATAAGATAATAGAAAAGTGCGGAAATTTTAAAACACTTTCCATATAATCAAAGTCTTTTATAAAAGCAAAGCAGAAGTCTATTACACTTGTCTCAAACCATCTAGAACATGAATATATTTGGGACACAACCCATAAAATAGTTCTCAACATAAAAGAAAGACATAAAGGAAAGGTGATCAAATCCTCGATGCTATGAGGACTGACCAAGTCTTGAACTCCTTGCTCTACTAGGAACCTAGCCACGTGGATGAAACTAAATATCTCTGGACCCTACATTTGATAAGAGTGTAGGAAAAAGTATGTGTTATTACAAAATGTACTAAATATGATAGCTAGTATAATCAGTAACATAAGCATAATAGAGGCATTAGTCAACATAAGACATATATCAAAATCATAAGAGACAACAACATATGTCATAAGCATAAGAGACATCATCATAAGACATAGGTTATAAGCCTAAGAGATAATAACATAGTCATAGGCATAATCAATGCATCTAGTTTAGCATGACATAAGAGAAACACTTCATAAGTAACCTCAAGGCAAGCTTGTGCAATGCATGGATAAGACCCCATATTCCCACCCATGCTAAGCAAGTCACTATAGGTCCCCATTCATATTTATCACCTTTTTGATCTCATCCTTAGCATGTTTCTCATAAACAAGGGAACATTCACCTTTAGTCCTACATGTATTTGAAGGGCCTTTCAAGCAACAATCCAAACAAGGCATACATCATACAAGTAAACCTCATATCAAAACATACGTACAATACTTCCTTGAAGTAATCTTATTTGATCATATACATTCTACTTAGATTAGGGACTTGTCCCTCATATTCATACTAGTCATGGAAGAGTACCTCTTTACCAGTCCAAGGCAAGTCATTGCTCATGAAGGGTTATGATTTACCAATTCAAGGCTACCAAGGAAAACACTAACTTATGCTAGACCAAGCTACCATGGAAAGCACCTTACATATGCAAGTCCAAGCTATATCAAGGAACACAACTATAGCGACAATCCAAGGTAAGCATACAACATATAAGAGAGATAACTCATAAGTAGCTTCAAGTCATACTTGTGCAATGCATGGATAAGACCCCATAATCCCACCCATACTAAGTACCACTTTAGTCCATGAGATCTCCTACTCATGCTACCATGAAATGGTCTAGTCTTACCAAGTCAAGCTATTAATGAAGGGATTTCATAACACAACTTCAAGATAACATAACTAAACATGCTTTGATTCATTTTAGGTGAGCAAGCCTTTCAACCTAGAATCATTCTATGTGAGAAAACCTTTCACATTAATGTTCATATGTGTTCATGAGAATGTCTTTTCAAGCAAAACAACATAACTATCATAATCATTGACAACTTACTCTCAAAATGTTCTTAAAACATCTACATAGGTTCTATAATGCATGCATAGTCTCATACCTTCATAATATAGGTTATGTGGGTATACTTCCACAACAATCCCATCTACCATCTACACTTATCATATAAGCTTAACTCTCAAAGCCTTAACATTCATAGTTCATCATATTAGCCTTACTCTCAAAGCCCTAGAACCCAACATTCATAAATACAAGTCTTATTCTCAAAGCTTTGCTTCTTATAGTCATCATACACTCCTAGATCACAAGAGATTCTAGTCATATGCTTCATTCTCAAGCAATTCTAGTCATATATCATCATAAAGGCTAAATGTCAAACATTACTAATCATGAACCATCATAAATGCTTTAATATAATTCAATTCATGTCTACATACTTATACTCTCAAGCAATTACTACACATATCATCAACGCTAGAAGATTATCTTTAAATCCTCAATTTCCCTTCTTAAGGCATAAACCCACATTACTTTAATTACATCAATTAGACTAGGGTTAGGCATAGAAAACATGTAATTTAATCACAATAACATGATTCACTACTAATTAAATCATAAACAATCAATATCTACTCAATTGGATTCATAATCAACATAACCCATACTATTGGAAGAACCAAACTTGAATTGGGGATTTTATCTTCACAATTATAGAATAACTAGGGGACTCCATGGATGAAGAATCTATGGATGAATAATATATCATACCTTTAATACAAAGCCCTCACAAATCTTGGAAGATTGGAGGAATTTGACCTAGCTTTACCCTCCTCCTTACCCTCCTCCTCCTCCTCCTCCTCCTCCTCCTCCTCCTCCTCCTCCTCCTCCTCCTCCTCCTCCTCCTCCTCCTCCTCCTCCTCCTCCTCCTCCTTCTGCTCCTCCTTCTTCTTCTTCTTCTTCTTCTTAGAGAGAGGATTTCTTTGAGAGAATTGGATTTATTTTTGGTGAGTTGAAATAATGACTACTACTACTACTACTACTACTACTACTACTACTACTACTACTACTACTACTACTACTACTACTACTACTACTACTACTACTACTACTACTACTACTACTACTACTACTACTACTACTACTACTACTACTACTACTACTACTACTACTACTACTACTACTACTACTACTACTACTACTACTACTACTACTACTACTACTACTACTACTACTACTACTACTACTACTACTACTACTACTACTACTACTACTACTACTACTACTACTACTACTACTACTACTACTACTACTACTACTACTACTACTACTACTACTACTACTACTACTACTACTACTACTACTACTACTACTACTACTACTACTACTACTACTACTACTACTACTACTACTACTACTACTACTACTACTACTACTACTACTACTACTACTACTACTACTACTACTACTACTACTACTACTACTACTACTACTACTACTACTACTACTACTACTACTACTACTACTACTACTACTACTACTACTACTACTACTACTACTACTACTACTACTACTACTACTACTACTACTACTACTACTACTACTACTACTACTACTACTACTACTACTACTACTACTACTACTACTACTACTACTACTACTACTACTACTACTACTACTACTACTACTACTACTACTACTACTACTACTACTACTACTATTCTTCTTCTTCTTCTCCTCCTCCTCCTCCTTCTTCTTCTTCTTCTTCTTCTTAGAGAGAGGATTTCTTTGAGAGAATTGGATTTATTTTTGGTGAGTTGAAATAATGACTACTACTACTACTACTACTACTACTACTACTACTACCACTACCACTACCACTACCACTACCACTACCACTACCACTACCACTACCACTACCACTACCACTACCACTACCACTACCACTACCACTACCACTACCACTGCTCCTTCTTCTTCTTACTACTACTACTACTACTACTACTACTACTACTACTACCACTACCACTACCACTACCACTACCACTACCACTACCACTACCACTACCACTACCACTACCACTACCACTACCACTACCACTACCACTACCACTACCACTACCACTACCACTACCACTACCACTACCACTACCACTACCACTACCACTACCACTACTACTACTACTACTACTACTACTATTCTTCTTCTTCTTCTCCTCCTCCTCCTGCTCCTTCTTCTTTTTCTTCTTCTTAGAGAGAGGATTTCTTTGAGAGAATTGGATTTCTTTTTGGTGAGTTGAAATAATGACTAGGATCAATGAATTTAGAGGTCTAGAGTCTATATGTAGTTGTTCTAAATGAGGTTAAAATGACACCACTTAACCCTTAACTAATTCATGAAAGTTCCATAAAGCCCCTACTTAACCGTTTGAAACAAACATTCTGCCTCACCCACGAGACCACGCCCACAGATCGTGGGTGGACCCACGAGGCGTGCTGGTCAAGCGTGGGTGGTGGTCTGAAACACTGATTTACCCACACCCATGGGGCGTGGGCCCCGCTATAGGGTGTGGGTCCCTTTGTAGGTGAACTTTTTTGGGGCAGTCTGCTAGGGTCCTCATCAAGGACCCTTGGTTGGTCCTTGGGGAGTTGTACCTTGACATTCTAACCCAAAACCCTTCATTTTTAAGTACGAGGAGTTATTCACGACTCTAACCTTCACGTTAAGCTCTAGTTTAGCCTACTAGTTTCCAGGGTGTTACAACAATAATAACATGAAGAGTATCATTGTTGCCCAAGAATGCATAACGAAGGTGACGTGAAAGTACCTTTAATTCAAGCTTTGGTGGTTCCTCAATAGATCGCTTTGCAAGAGGACTTTCTCTATTCTTCAAATTGATATCAAGTTTCAAAGGGCTCTTAGAATAAGAATCTAAACCCGATAGAGCAGCCACCACTACATCATAATCTTGAATTTCCTTCCCATCAAAGTTCAAGAGTATGGCAGCCAAAGATTCACCAACACATGAGACTTCACTCACACTAGCAACCGCTTCTTCAATTATATCATAACTGATATCACATGTAAGTCACTCGGTTGCTTCATCAATTTACAAATATTGAAATTCACTTCCTCACCATTTACGTGAAACATCAATTCACTATTTTCCACATCCACAAGAGCTTTCCCGGTAGCCAAGAATGGCCTACCAAGAATAATATGAACTTCAGCTTCAATCTCGCAATCAAGGATCACAAAATCAGCCAAAAATATGAATTTGTCCACCTTCACCAAAACATCATAAAGAATGCCAACGAGGCGCTTGATAGAATGATCAGCCATGAGAAGATGCATAGTAGTAGGCGTAGGCACACCTATCCAAAGTTTTTTGAAAATGGCATAGAGCACCAAGTTTATACTATCCCCCAAATCACATAATGCTTTATCAAATTGAAACATGCCGATATTGCAAGTAATGGTAAATTCCCTTGGGTAATCTTTCTTGACAACCACATTGTTTGTCATAATAGAAATACAACTATGGGAGACCTTAATCGTCTCAAAGACCATGCTTCTCTTCTTTGTGACCAAATCTTTCATAAACTTAGCATAACCTGACATTCCTAAAAATGCCTCTACCAAGGGAAGATTTTTGGAAAGAATCTTGAAGACGGACATAAATTTTTGGAACTTTACGTCTTCATCCCTCTTTTTCAACTTTTGAGAAAATGGTGGACCAACTTTGGGTAGTGTTTGTTAGTACCAATAGAGGTTCAACCCCCACATTTGACTTTTTAGCATTACCGAGGTTAACACTTTTCAGTGCATCATCAACCCGATTGGAGTTTTATTTTTTTAATTCTTCATCATTTCAACACAACTGATTTTCCTTTTCTTTAATTCGGATTACTTTCCACAACTTACCCACTCCGAGTTACAACGGCCATGCATTGTACATTTAGATTTTTCGGATTCACAATGGTATCACTTGGGAAATCCCCTTTTGGTCTTGGATTCAAATGCGCTGAAATCTGGTCCATTTGGGTCTCAAGTTGATTTATAGACACCAAGTGGGAGGTAACCATTTGGTTTAATGCGGAGAAATCACCCTTCATTTCTTTGAGTACCTTGTTCGATCCTTCCACCTTGTTTAGGATAAGATCAAGAATATCTTTTGTCAGAAAGCTCTCAGGATCGACATCTTGTTCTTTGGGCTTGGGATTATCGTGAGGAGTCACATACAAATCTCGATCACCATCTCTTTCTCTCCAATTCATACCTTTATCATGCCAATCTCACTCCCTATCTCTCCAACCATCATCACGACCTCTTTTACGACCTTGATTCCCACATGGCCTTGGATAGCTCCGACGAGAACCCCCAACTTGGTACGATAAAAAATTTACCTCTTTGTTGTACATGGTCCTAAATTGTGCTTCATATGTGCTAAACCCACTACTGTTACAAATTGAAGTCACAACCTTTTTACCACGTATCATGGCGTGCTTCAACAATAAACCCAATTGGGTCATAATCTTGGCCATATTTTCAGCACGCTCTTGATTTTTGTCCAATTTCTCTCTCGTCAACTAAAAATTCAAAGGAGACATATGATCCTCCCTTGTATACCATGCTCGATTAATCTTGGTCATCACATCAAGAAATGTCGATGCCACAACAAAAGGTTATCTTATGTACCACCCTGAATAAGTTAATCGATAACACCTTTGTTAATAGTGTCAAGACTATGATAGAATTATTGCAAGAGAACATTGTTTGGCAACCCAAGGGTAGGACATTGGAGAAGCAAATTCTCAACAACGTTTTAAGGATATGCTCACCATCAATCCTCTTGAAGTTCTAAATGTTATCCCTCAACTTAATCATCTTCGAGGGAGGGAAAAATCTTACGTAAAACACTTTTGTGATCTCATCCCATGAAGTGATAGATTCTCTTAGTAGTTTGTTCAACCACTTCGTTGATGCACCCACTAGAGAAAAGGGAAACAACCGGAGTTATACTGACTCTTGAGTAATGTTCTTGAAGGAGAACGATCCACACACATCCATAAAATTGCAAATGTGATCATGAGGGTTCTCATGAGCAAGTCCCCCAAATATACCTTTCATTTGCAACATCTACAATATAGTACTGGTCATATGAAACATCGTATTGACTACTGTTGGAGGAAATCGAATGGCACCAACACTTCCCAACTGATCTACATTTACATCCTGAAAATATTCGATGTCATCATTGTCATTGTTCCCAATTTGACTTGCATTACTCCCATTCACACTCATCTCTTCGCCTGTTTTAGAGCAATCAACAAGAACACAAATAAGAAAATCCTACTACAACAAAATAAGTTCACAAAACCACTTAAATAAAAGAATTCTAAACACCACTTTTAAGCAGCGACACCATTTTTTGATAATGCTCAACTGCACTTCTTTCGATTCAAAGTGTAGGCGGTCTCTAACATGTATAAACCCAACGATGAGTTGGGGTCGATCCCACAAGGAGTGATACGTTAAATAATTCAATTACGAAGTAAAAAAGTGTACTAATCTTTTGTAGAAGTAAAATGCTATGAAACATAAAGTAAATCAAAGAGTTTCAATTATCAATATTAAAGGGGGATTTAGTAACCAATTGTTAACAAAATGCAATTAACACGGGATTTGAACTATTAGAGAGAGGACCTTAGGAATGTGATCAATCGAATACTAATTTCACTAAATGGGTAATTATTTATTGCTTTAAGTTGGTGAAACTCAATGGGTAGGATAGGTTGTAATTATGATAGCCATTTCTCAATCAACTATCATGTTTCGAGTGAGTTCTCTCGTACATCAACAAGCTTAGCAATACAAAGAAACCCAATTCCTTAATTAAACTTCCTTTTTTCAAGCTGGGTTGTAAAGACACAAATAAATAAAACAATCAAGTGTTCAATCTACTCTATGAATATTTCTCAAGCAATTATAGAGAGTTACGCTAAAATTGAATTTGCAACTTTAATTCATAAATGAAAACATGAATAAACAATTGAATTCACTTTAAAACAATCCTAAATTCTGCAATTAACAATACCCATAAGCTAATTTATGTATTTGATTACATGATCACACCCCTAAGATAAGGGATTTTAGCCAAACATAGCAAAAAGTAAAAAAATCGTTACCAAAAATATTATCCATCCAAATTGTAACGATCAGCAATTCTCAATGCAAAGTAAAACTAGAATCCTAAACCCTCAAATCCAAGATCAAAATCCTCTTCAAGAGTATTCAACAATGTAAACATGTGCAAAAGCTCTCAGAACAGGGGAATAACAGGGGAATACACTGTCTGGGAACTCCTTTTCCCTTTTCTAAAAAATCAATTTATACATTCCAAAAAACCTCTCAAAATTTTTACACGAAGTCCAATCGGCAATATTAGTCGGGATCGCTGAATGACTCGTTGATCTGCCCAAGTGCATTTCTTCTTTTCGTTTAGCTTGACTCCTCTGTCCAATTATTCTGGAAAATTTAGCGAGCTGGATAGTTGTCGCTGTTCCATTCGGTGAGAGGCCTAAGTGTATTTTCGCTAGCCGAGTTTGCTTGATCTATGGGATACTTTGCTTGAAGATTTGGCGAGCTGTAGGCTAACTTACCTAGTGGCGGAGTTGCTTTTGCGAGTTCCTGCTTCTCTTTTCTTTAGCTTTTCCAACTTTTTCATTCCTTTTCACATCATAACGTCCTTGCCTTGTTCTTAAGCCTTCATTGTTGCATATAAACAGATCAATTTTTAATGTTATGATTTAAAGCGCATGGGGTCATCTTAAAGGTATGATACGACTTCACGTTACTTCAATTGAGCTTGATTAAGTGAAAGTAGGATTATATGTGTGAATTTGAGGTAAATACCTAGTTGACCATGTTGAATTTCCTAGAATCCATATTTAGGCTATTGCCGGGTTTTTAGGATTTTGATCAGTTGTAATTTGTGATCATCCTTATCTTGTGGTATGCCGTAATTGTTGTGACTAATGGTTTATTTGTGCATGTTTGGCCTTATTCAAGGCATAGACTACTAGTTTTCCATGGACTTGCATTATTTGGAGCTACTTGGCCTTAACGTTGTTCGAATGTCATTTCATATGGCTAAGCTCCCTTTAGACTTGTTTAGCAGACTCATGTCTAATAAAATGAACCTTTTATTAGGTGTTGATTCATATATGATAATCTTCTATCCATTGATCCCTCTTTTTATGACCCTTTGGTTTATGGATGAGGTGTCGAGCTTTGCTTGACCATTTAGCAAATTAGTTTGTCCAGCTAGGAGTATTGTAATGATTACTTAGAAATGGACATCGTTTTGGGGGGTTTTGTCATAATCATTTGACATGGGATAATTCCACAACTATTATAGTCACATATTTTAGGTTGGCATCTAATCTATAGTTGTAGTCCATGATCCTGGCTCTTTTATAATCTATAGAGTTGATACATTTCGATTAGATCTTACTGGTCACTTTAGAGGCCTTTTTGTGGTTCGAGGTCTTGGCTATGCAATCTCTAGATTTGATGAGCTTATTGATCCTTCTAGAGGCTATATGCGGTTCGAGGTCTACTGCAAACTACTTGTCTATAGATGTTCTTAATGGTTACTTAGAAGGCTATGTTCTATTCAAGGTTTAGGCTAGGCTTTCCCTGTAAATAGATTGTCCGGGTTGTGCTCTTAGTAGGGTTAGCCTTTCTACGTACCTGTCAAGCTTATAAGGGTCTATTCGGGTGTTTATTAAAACTAACACGTGAGTGTACCTTCTTGTTTTATGGGGAGTCATCTAGGATTAATTATTTGTACTTATTTCTTCTCTATCCTTAATGCACTCTTGTGCATCTCTATCAAATTGCATACTTTTGACCTATGCTTATGTTTTATTCTAGCATTTCTTATTTCTTTTACTTTATTTTCTCATTGTTCCTATTAGGGGTGTTCACGGGTTGGTTTGGATCGGTTATTGGTCAAAACCAAAACCAAACCAACTTGATCGGTTTTAAAATTATCAAAACCAAACCAAACCAAATACAATATACATTTATCGGTTTGGTTATTATCGGTTTCGGTTATTCGGTTATTAACCATACACAAAAATAAAAGAAACAATTCATTTAAAATGTGAAAAAAGTGACAACAATCCATTCAAAACGAAAAATAGTTAGAATGACTTAAATTAGTAAACTTTCAATCACTAAATTTACTATCAATAAAGCTTTAAAATTCACTATATTGGCCTAGAAGGAAGAGACAATAACATTTTCAGCCCCACAAAGAATTGTCATAGACACTCATATACATGAAATCAATAAGATAAATGTTTCATCTTGGGCATTTTTGCTTTCAATAAGTAAATTATAAAGAAATTTTAATGAAAATATGTATAAGATCTTTAAAATTATTTATAAAAATAATATAGTTTCATCTTGGGCATTTTTGCTTTCAATAAGTAAATTATAAAGAAATTTTAATGAAAATATGTATAAGATCTTTAAAATTGTTTATAAAAACAATATATTAAGTATGTATATTAATAAAATATATGTATATAATTCATCGGTTCAGTTCGGTT